TGATAAGTAGACTAATTGCAGACAAATTACTGGCTTTGGGTGAAAATTACCCAGTGACAGGGATTAGTTAAATTGAATATATCCACAAGAGTATTAACCCAATTTGTTTTTGTGGGTTGGAAAGGCATCTGAAACAGAAGATTGACCATAAACCTCAGTCTCCGGTTCACCTGATGGTCACATGTACTACGATGTGGGGCTTATGCTGGGTATTAAAAGGATTAGGCATCAGCGTTAAGGGTTAATACTTTCTGTGGTAATTCTGAATCTAATTGAAAGGATGTGAGTGTTTGGAGAGCATATATATTTGGAGAATAACAATGATTGTGCCAATTATATAGATTTTATATAGTGGTGCACATTGTACCATCCACTGGTGCAATGCACAGTAATTGCATTGGGATGTATTTAGACCTACAACTAACAATTTTTTCCAATATTGATTAATCTGTTACATTTATTTTCTCTAAAATGTCAGGAAAGGGTGAAACATGCCACAAGTTACTGAAGCCCAAAGTAGCATCTTCAAATTGATTGTTTTGTCTGACCAAGAGTCAACCCAAAGATTGAGTAGCAGGAATCAGTATTTTGTTTTGTTTTTACTCTTTAAATTACCTGATGCCATTGATTAAATTTCTTTCGATAGACAATAATTATTCATCAACTACTTGTTTCTGCACTCATTATTTCCTAAAAGCTACTGTTTCAATGACATTCAATAATTCAATGTACTACTAATTGGCTGTTTCTCAAAGAGTTATAATGAATTCAGTAGACCAAAAGGTCATCAATTCAAAGCACATCACTTAAGATCACTCCAAACCCTGAATACGGTTTTACAGTTTTCATGTCACTGCACTGTATCAGCCATAGTAATGTGCATTACAGCAGTGTGTGTGTGTGTAAACATATATAAATACATATGCATAAAAACTCCCAAAACTTCAATCCTCCAATCACGAAACATACAGTACAAGTAATCTTAATAAACGTCAAGTTGCCAGTGAGAGGTCCTCAGGGAGTGAATATATTCAAAAACATGTCCTTTTTTGGTTTCATTTTTATGTCTGAAGTGGAACTGTATATGTTTCACTTTATAAACATACATGGTTGTGACTTTCAGCTGATCCGAAACAGACACTTTGCTGGTGACAAAAAAAAAACACACACACACACAGTGACCCACTTTTCTGAGCTGAACTGGACCAACCAAAAACAGATCGCCCTGCATCCATTTATGATTTGGGCGTGGATATAAGGGATGAATACACATACACAGACAGACACATGCTTATACACACCAGTAGAGCAGGGACAGAGGCCTTAAGTGAGTACAGCTGTGTAGCCAGATGTGCTTTTGAGTCCTGTGGTTACAAGTGCATGTGCACTTAACGTGTGTTTGTGCGTCTGAACCTGAAAATCTACTCTGCTCATTCTAATCCCTCAACAGAACAACCTTTTCCCCTGCACACACCCGCCCCTTACTGCCCCTGGCAATATGATCTGCCTCTCCCTCTCTCTCTCTCTGTCCCTCCTTTATCCGCTGACTGAGTAACAGTGGTAATAAAGCTATATAAACAATATGACCTGAAATGGATTTCAGTTTAATTTGAGGACAACATTTAAGTCACACTGGGGAAAAAACAGATGCCATATTTATCTGATTTCCATCATGGCTGCCATTAAAAACTCTCTCTGTCCAGTTTTATCTCTCTTCAGTCTCTTTACCTTTAAACTGTCATGTCTCCTTAGATCCACTAGGGAGCAGACTCTTCAATGACTGATTGAATGAATGAATGAATGAATGAATGAATGAGGTACCTCCTCTGCGACATATATTAATAAATTAATATTTGCTTATCCACCATCAAGTGGTTGAACACACACACACACACACACATACACACACGATATTACAATACACAATATTAGTCACTATGCTTAAATGTCAAGATATTAGATTAGACTGGTGTGTGTGTGTCTGTGTGTTTGTTTGTGTGTGTGCTCTAACAAACCGCCACACAAGCATGCTAAATGCCCTACAAGCACAAATGAACACACTCAACACACACACGTATACACACATTGAACTGCAGACACCCAAACAGCAAAATATTCAACAGTAAGACCGGTGAAGGTCATCATTAGCATAGTATTAACAGCCCTGTGTAAGAATGTGTGTGTGTGTGTGTGTGTGCCTGTGCGTGTGTGTATGTGTGTGGTGGAGGTGTGTCTTTATTCTAGCTGTGAGGGGTCACATATGTCCCAGTGTCCTGTGGGAATAACATGGGGTCTCGTGCTGACAGCACAACAGGAAGGGACATGGACGGACACACACCACAGACACACACACACACACACACACACACACACATACACACACATTTTAAGTGCTGCACTGGCACATTTGGTGAAGGAGAAGGATTATTAGGTCACATTGCTTCACCAAGGACATGAGTTCAGCTTTTCCCTGACAAAAAACACCTGCGTAGGTCAGTTCACTCTTGTAAGAAGAGTTTGCGGAAGAAACCACACTGTAAGAAAGAAAACCAGCCAGGAATTCCTGATGTACCAAGCACCATGAAAAATCCAATTGACAGCTCAATTACTTAATTTTCACAACACTCACGATGATAGCAATTTAATTCCTTCATGCAAGAAACCCTGAAGTCTGTATCCATCCACCAACTGATCCTGAGACAGTTGACTCAGAACCATAAAATAACACATTCAAGAACACATCAGAGGCACACATTCACCCTTCTGACCCTGAAATTAATATAAGATTATTCAGTGTGTTGCATGTACACTGTACAAAGTCCTATGTATTTTCCCATTCATTCACTCAATTTTCTCATTCATACTTTTGAGTTTGAATCATAGACTGTATAATAAATGTGTCAAGCACACAGAAACAAAAGCAGTAAAATCTCTCTGTGTCACTGACAAACTCCTTGAGACAAAAAGAGATATTTTTGGTTTGTGACAACCATACAATTGTTTTTAGCCTGCATACCATAGTTTTGTGCACTAGGTTCAGTGATACTTACTTAAGCCAGTTTCCTATATCTGCAGCTGTTGACAGCATACTAAGTTGGGACATTTTCCACAGACACATACAGTACCTACACCAGTTACAATACTGTAAGTGATGTGCCTGTTCTTATTCTACACTACAATAAGGTTAACCACAATGGGGAGGCTTTAATCAGCCTGAACTAAACCCAACCTCACAAATAACATTTTAATTAGTGGTCTGCCCACCGACAGTCCCCATTAACCCCCACTGTTCCTAACCATTTCCAACTGTCATGTACTTCAGCTAATAAAGAAACCCAATGTCTCCACCTCTGTCTTTGTCTTACTGGCTGTACAGTAAGTCTATCTGTCCCACTGTGGTTCTATATCTGACTCCCTCTAGCTGGATGCACTTTATTAGCCCCATGGTGCATAATGCATGCTAATTTGTTACCAATTAACTCCAAGTCTGATGTGTGGCCCCACTGTATTCATGACTAAAATCCAGTCAACTGCAGCAGAGGATCATTGAACCCAGAGGCAACATGTTTAAAAATTATGCAGTAAAAAGCTCTGTCAGAAGGGCTTTCAATATGTTTTTTTTTCCAAGCCTCCTGTGTGCATAACCACTCTTTTTTTACAAGTCAAACAATATCCAAACCTAAATGTATTTATTTCTTTATCAAAATGTATGAGCTAGAAAACTGCTCAGTCTAGGCTGGCTATTCAGCATGTGACAAGACCTAACAAAAAAAAAAAATTGATATACAGATGATAAATATATATGTATGCATGTATATGATTTCATACTGTATCATAAATCAACTCACAACACTCTGGGGCTCATAATCTGCCTGTTGAGAATCATTGTACTAATGGAATTAAAATAGATTATATGGATTACCCACAAAAAAAAAGAAATCACTTGTCAAAGAAAATTAGAAAAAGGCAGCAATCTGTATGGATTCAAATGTGCCCTAAGTGGTCAATGTCTTTCCTTAATCAATCATGTTCATTCCATCTTAAGGGGAAAAGCAATATAGCCTAAATCTCCAAGACAAAAATCAAAATAGTCTTGTCTGTGGCATCTATTATTTTGTTTAGGCACCATGTCAGTAATTGATTAACGGCTTCAGATAGAATCCTATTATTATTATCCTAAATCCCAAAGGCTGTTTGGTCTCTGATCTTTTCCACAGCTGGTTGAATGAAGGTCAGACAAATTACAGCATCCTTATGATTTATGAGAACAATAACTCTGACTACACAGCAACACAGTAAGCAAGGGAATGATTAGAGGCCCAGTCCTTCATGAGCAACCAAGTTAATAAGTGTCACTGTCCAAATGCCACAGTTAATGAAGGAACAGGTTATTTTTGGAGGCTATGCTACTGAGCATAACCAGCTCACCACTGGGTGACAAACATAAAAATAGAAGAAATCACACACACAGTCATACACAGCGAAAAACAGAGAGACAATTAGACAGTCTAATTTTTACCTTGCTGGAGTAAGGTCCAGGGATGAGCAGTTTCAGTGCTTGTCTTTTCAGCTCTGTCAGTCTTGCATTGCAGTTCTCACACCATATCCCTCTTTCACTACCAGGGGAACTTCCACTGCCTGAGGCCGGTGATCCTGTCCCAAAACCTGGGGAGCCACCCAGAGAACCGGGAGATTCTGTCCCAATCCCCGGAGAGATGGTCCCAGGGGATCCAGAGAATGACCCTGGTGAGGAGATTCCTGAGCCTGGGGACGGGGTGCCTGTGGAGCTTGGCATTGAGCCTGCTCCCTCTGGGGCGGGGCGTGTGCTGGAGCGGGTGGTTTCCTCGTAGGCCTTTCGGTACCATGTGTCGGGGAAGAAGGAGGCAGATTTGGTAGGGGAAGTGTCAGGCATCTGTAAACATTTTTTAAAAAGAAGAAGAAATCTTGACTTACAGGCCCTTTTCACTGCAGACATTTGTGCATGTCATATCAGGAAAAGTACAGGTGTAAATATGAATATTAATGAGTAATGCCTGAATTCCCCATTGTTTTTTCTAATTCCAGGGGCCTGCTATTGGGCATGCTGGCTCCCTGGTATGACACTCAATGTAACGGAGCTGACATTAATGTTATTATTAAGGTTATTCTTAATTACAACTGTGCCGTGAAAAAGCCCATATTGTGTGAATATGTGTAACTCCCACTCATCCCAGTGCACACAACAGGCTGCACAAGTTGGGATGAGAACACAATAATGAGGAGGTGCTTAGGGCAAATGTCTTGTACCAGGAAAATTAAAAATCAACCTCGCTATATTCAGTATGCTAGCTATTTAATAAATCATCCGTTGTTTGTGGGTCTGCTGAAATTCATGAACAAAAAATTAACCTGACTCACTGCTTCAATATTCCTTCTTAGCCTTCATGTCAACAATTAATAAATGGTGAATCTCTTGTTTTGGAAAATAAGGCTAGACATACAGTAGTCACAGTATCTGAAGCCAATAACTTTGGCATGACAAGGAGTCTAAACTAACATTTGGGCATTAAATCAAATAAGCAGACAATTTAAAAAACACAAACAGGAAGTAATGTTAAACATTTACTGTGTCAACATATTAGATTCTTCCATTACGGTCTAAATAGGATCAAGTGAGACTCAAGTCAGTGGAGACCTGTGTTATTTCTCTCTCTATTCAGACCGCCACATGGGAACATCAAATAAGCCACAAGGAGTTGAAAATTAGATCTTTTGCGGCTGGGTAAATCCAGTCAGAGAGAACAGACCCATTGATGTGGTGGTGGCATGGAGAGGTTGGCTACTATGGCTGCTGTAATCCCTCACAAGGGCTATAATAAGGAACCAATGGATAGGCTGATAGGTGGGAATGCACAATCATCTCCAAGTGAAGAGGTGGGTATAATGTGAGTTATAAATTAACGCTAATTAGGCTGTATGAGGTAGGCAGTGACACAGGTGTGAGTGTAATACCTGATTGAGCTGCTTGCTCCTTAGGTAATGATAATTAAGAGATGTGGGAGATCTATCAGTGAAAATGCATGCCACTGTTGTGACACCATGAGCAGTGATGTGTGAAATATGATCTTCACAAAACAATCAATCAACAGCATGCACAGAAATCTACTAAAATGAGCTTCCATGAGTTCCATGGCAGCCTGAAAAGGGGGTGAGCAAACTACAGTTTCCTATTAAAATGGGGGGNNGGGGGGGGGGGGGGTAGGTGTGAGATAAAGTGCATGCATCACTGAATGGATCATAAGTTCTTTCTGTGTTTTCCAGGCTTATAGCTGACAGAGGTGTGCCCAACCCTTTGACTAGTGGAATGAATAACCTACCCCATATTTTCTGCTCCGGCTGCTCACAGACCTCTCCTTGGTCCCCGACAGTGAAGTCATGTTGGAGGTGAAAAAAGGGGGGAGAGGAGAGGAGAGGAGAGGAGAGGAGAAAGAACCTATGCTGCTGCTTCACATTCAAAAAGAGACCACCGGATCGATTTCAATTAACCACAACGCCCCTGCAGTTGGCTCTTCTCAGTCTGGACGCAACCTCACGCCACTTCCAAACACATGTGGAAACCGGTTACATCCCAATTCCGTCGCCAAAAGACCAAAAAAAAAAAAAAAATCCAAGACGGTTTTTGTTTTCTTTTTCCAGAAAAACCCTCGAATCACTTGTATAAAACAAACTAAGATTTCACACAGGTCTTGAGAGAAAGCAGCAGACCGCTCCCTGTCAGCAGAGGCTGCTCTGCGCTCTCTGCTCAACAGCGCTCCGGACTGGCACCGCACTCAGCCTTGCCTCTCTCCATCAGCTCTGCGTCTCAGGCTGGCCAGGTAAAACCAAACCACCCCGGGGGGGGGGGATTCCTCCTCAAGGGCTACACCGACAAAGTCACGACTCATTAG